GTCCGTCCAGCACCTTTTAAAAATGGGACATGATAGCCGAGAAGGTCAAAACATAACAAAGAGGTCCTCCTCTTCGTCCTCTCTGCCTGTGGAGGAGTTCACAGGCCCCGGATGTTTAGTGGCTGATGTCATTTCCTGTTGACTTAAAGGTCACATTTGTGGTTCTGTGAAAGACAGAGCCTTTGGAATAGTACCGTATTTTCCGGACAGTAGAGCGCACCTCTATAGTCTGGAAACGTACATATGTAAGCCGCATCGGGCTATAAGCTGCTGGTATTTCCACCGCTCTCGGTTTTCCACAAGGACGCAGCCCTGCGTCTCCAACACCGAACCCTGGATTCTGTTATGTCTTGTTATTGCATGTAAAGGACAGCAGGGGGAGCTCTGACTAAGTACAAGATAAGAGATGCGGAAAGAAGGAGAAGAGGAAAGTAAAGAGTACTGAAGCTGAGCTACGTGTGATGCCTGCTTATTCCACTATTTTCTACATAGCACACCACAACAGATTCGTTCACGCCGAGTTTACGTGCAGCAGCTCCATTTCCCTCCTGTACTGCCAGATCGATAAACCTCAAATTAAAAGCTGCATCATATGAACTTCTTCGTGTTGTTTCCACGATGAGGGGGTATGAGTTTGAAAACATTTCTCCGTGGTGGCTGCTGCTACCATGTGCTTGTTCTAAATGAAAATTTAGCGCTTTCTTCTTTGATTTCTAATTTTGACTCCCAATGATTCATTTCCTGCTAAAGAGCCCCCTGGTGGTTGAAGAAAAATCCACAGAAAAGGCTGCAAGCCGCATGGTCTTAGTGTAGAAAAAAAGTAGTGGCTTATAGTCTGGAAAATATGGAAATTAAGTTGAAAATGTTGCCTAATTATCAAATATTAGCTTCAAATAAGATTTCAATTTTTTATAATTTTTTTTACCCATTTTTAATTTAGTGCATTTAGCAAAAGGTTAAAAAACGTTTTTGTTTTTTAAAAAGATGTAGCTCTTGCTAGAAGTTACTCTTAGTTTAACTTACAGCTTTAAAGGAGGAAGCAAATTTTCAGGCTGAGCTACTGTAACAAAACAGAACAAATTCAGAACATTTGAATCATCTTTTGAATTTGTAAAAGTCCATTTTTTGTTCAGTCGTAATTTTACCACCGAACAAAAAATTTCCACATTGTCCACATGTGCGAATATTTAAATGCATGAGTTGGGTTGAGTTTGGAAATTGTTTTGGGAAAAAAAAAAAAAAAAAACTGAAGAGAATCTTGTTCATTTCCAGAAAAATTTATTTTCACTTTTGTAATTTTTGTTTGTAAAAACAAGTTTGTAGTTTGGGTTCCCTTAGCCAAATATGAATTAAAAATTGAAAATTAATTTGTTTCTGGAAATGAAAGGGATTCTCTTCAGTTTTTTTTTTACTTCCAAACTCGACCCACTGAGAAGCAATTCATTCTTAAACTTTGTAAATTATTTACTCATAACATTTTTCCTAAATTATTTATTTTCATTAAGAAACTTTTAAAGCAACATTAGCAGTCAACTTTAGAGTCTAAATTACTACAATTACATACACGTGGAAATAAAAACTAACGTTTTAACTCAAATGTGCCCTAAAGACGCAAACCAACTTCAATGAATTTAAAAAGGAACTTGTGTTCCCAACCAAAACTCAACTAAAAGTAAAAGTTAAAAAGTGATAAGTAAGCAGACGCTTGAAACAGCATCAGAAACAAGTCTGGTTAGAAAAAAGGAAATCATTTATTAAACATAACCGTATTGGCAGAACAGCCCATACACATAGCATCGGATTCAGGTCACAGTCACTCACTTTCACTATATACAGATAGGCACATTCACATTAGGCGTTAAAGCCAGCCACAGCGTGTACTGTAGGGCCAAACCAGTGGCAGGTTTGGTTGTTGCCTCTCAGTCCAGCAAGGAAAAAGTAAAAATAATAAATCAGTCTGGTTAACTGGTTTCCTCTGAAAATTTGAATGTTTGGATTTTTAAGCTGCATGGAGCCACCTGACCAATATTCTCCTTGGGGAATACACCGCCATAGTGTGTGTGTGTGTTCACTGCAGATCCAGACCTCTGAACACAATCTGTTCTTCAGAGAACGTCACAGTCCGAGGGAAGCAGCGACTGGGAATACGCACACAAGGCAAGTCTGACGTAACAGGAGAAACAGCCTGAAGTCAGAGAGTTTTAGCTCCACAAAAAAAACAAAAACAAAACAAAAAACCTTTAAGAGACAAGTAGAAAAAAAAAAGAAACTAGAAAAAAAAAACTTGACTGTTTTGAATAAAAAAATATTCAATGAATAATTTGCTACAACAAAAAAGTTTTTACTTTGCAGTACTAGACGTCTTAAAAAAAAAAAAAAAAAACACATCAGGAAAATGGGAGACTTGGAAAGAAGTGCTCCGTACTCAAACTATGCTCATCCTTCATGCTTCACGGGATCCTTCACCACCGCAGGACAGACAGCAGCAACTAATAAGTGACAACGAGGTGAAAAAGAAAAGCCGCAAAACCTCAACACATTAACAAAAAAAAAGGAATAAATAAGTTTTAGAGACACTTTTAATCCTGCAGGTTTGCAAGCTGCAGTTGTTTTTCCTGTGTTGACGATTCGTGAGATAACCAACCTGAATCGGACGCGTTTATGACACACAGTCTGGGTTCGGTACTCTGGTAATGCTACATCACACGAGCAAGGTTGAACCAATAGAGACGCAGCATGTTGGAAGGTAGACCCGCCTCCTGAACCGCAGGCGGTCCGATCTGTCCTGGGATCGGCGCTCTGCCGCGTTCAGGTGGCGTGGGGAGGCGAGTTAAGGCAGTCTAGTCGATGCAGAGGCTATACAACTTTAAAAACAGAAAAACAAAAAACACACAAACAAGAAGACTTTATAACACCACCATTAAAGAGTGTGCAGAAACCTGAAGTGAAACAACACATGATGGAACATCACATTGTTGATTTTCAAGCATTCGTGTCCTCAAAGTCATCCTGACGACTTGGTTTCTTTCTTTTTACCTGGGAAAAAAAACAGCTAAACTGATTCCTAAAGACATTTCTCAAGAGTGTCAAAGTAGCTCCTTGTACAAGCGTCAACGTAAGTCGATCGATACAGAAAACGCCGTTCAGTTGGCCTTAGCACTGCTAGTTTGAGCAAATGCTTTTTCTCCTTTCGCTTTTCACAGATGAGTTCAGCCAACTGGACATTCTGAAGTTAAGATAATTTAATCCAATTTAAACTAAATAATCTGGCTCTGATATTTAAATTCGGCATTTCTGAGTTTCTCGTGGCGTCGATTTTGACCGTCTATCGCAATGTACAAATCTGGTTTCCTCTTATGATGTTGATAATTAAACCAATTCCCTTGTACAGTTTAAGAGAATCACAGACAGAATATTAGAGATGCACCAAGAAATTGTCTGGTTGCTGGAATAACAGGCCGATTTCACTCGTTCATCAATTCCAAACCAGCCGGAAGCTAAAAAATCCATTCTTTTCCCAGTCAGTAAACACACCACATAAAAACCAAGCAGCTCTTTTGTGTGGAAGTTGTTACCGAATGACGTAATACGGCTTTATTCAAAAAGAAAAGTAGTCAGAGGAAGCGCAAAGGATGTTTGAAGGTTCTAGAAAACATTTCAGGTGTTAATTTTTTTTAGCAATGCTAACAGGAAGCTAGAGGTGTTGCAGAAAAGTTGCAGTTTTATCCTTTTAAAGAGGATTGTAGCAGCTCAAGCAGGAAGTGATGGCCCCCTAAAGTAGGTTTAAAATGTAAACCATTTGTTTTCAAACCGTGGAATGTTTTGACCGCGGAGCTGTGTAATGTTGACTGCTCTCTCACTCACACAGTGTGACGTCACCTCTGCTCCTTGTATAAATAATTGATGACAGAAGACATCTTTGCTCACTTCAACTATAATTGACAAAATTCAATAAAAACATACCGGCCTTTTCTCTCAGATGTTAATGCGGAGAATTAAATTATTTTGAATGCACTGCGTAATATAAAAAAATTTATGTCTTTTGAGATGGTGCGTATTACATGTTCAAAATTTAAAATAAAATAAATAAATAGGCAACAGTCAATCTTTTTAAAGGGGTTTTTCGTTTATAGATGCATCAAACCCAAAAGCTTTAAATGATGGAGAGTGCAAGCTGTGTAACTTTGGCCTGATTTCTTTCTTAGACATTTTGCTATAAATTTGGTGTCAGGAAGTAGAAATAAAAAAAAAGAAATGTTTTTAATAATAGATTTTAAAGAAATGATTAAAACTGGTATCAGGTTATTACTTTCCAAAATTGTACATCAAAAACTGGCCACAAAATATCTGATCGGTGCATCTCTAATATAAATAAAACCATCTCTGAGCGCTGGATACAGAATACTGTGCAAGTGTTGGCATTATAATAACCAGAACAAGTCATATGCTGTCTGTGTAATGGTGAACCAACAGGATGTTATTCTCTCAAGTGGAGTTCTAGCATGAATGCATTAACAGTAAACCAAGTGGGATGAAAAAAAAAAAAAAAAAACACCTCAGAATCTGATGTTCTCCTTTTTATAAAACCGTTTGGAGAACGCTGACCCGCTCCCCTCACAGCGTCATCAGGGAGGAACCGAAATTCAAACAAATTTGTTTCAGAATCGAGAAAATTAAACTCCGATATGCAAAGCGGACTTTGGCGTTTGTAACTAAACTTGAGCGGGACGTCTTTAGACGTCTTCCAGACTCGTAACCTGCTGAAGTGAGAGAATGACATTTAAACAAAGGATGGCGTTTCCCCCGTGGGGTCAGGCTGCGATACTTTTTGCTTTACTTTCTCCATCCGGTGAGAGTGAAAAGGACACATGTGATGAGGGATTTTCTGGTTTCTTAGAGTGGCGGCCTGAGGAGGGGACGACTGAGATATTCCTATATGTTTGAGCTGCTGGCCTGAGAACTAAAATCTGCATGTTTTGGAAACAATATCCTGATATCCCTTCACATCCACACCGTCCGTTTAACCTTTTTTTTTTGGGGTGTTTGAAGGTAAGAACGAGCTTCGGCTCACTTCACTCGCTCGGTTCACCTACGTGGCCGTCATTTCCTCTAAAACAAAAATAAAACAAACAAACAAAAAAAACAACAAAACAAAACAAAAACAAAACAGAGGCTTCGACCTCCGACTTCCTGTTTGAGGCAGAAGCCTGGGCCGCTGTGAGCTTCCTCTGCTCGCCGTCCCTCACCAGGAGGAAACAGTAAGTCACTGGAATCGGTGAAGAGACGAGGATAAGAGACGGGTGAAGGGGACAACGCACGACTAGATTACCGCCCGAACGCTCTCGTCGGGTTTCTGAGCGGGAGTCCAAAAGCGGGCGCTACTCTCCTCCGGCTCCTTCGCCGCGCTCCTCCTCGTCTTCCTCTTCCTCCCGGAGTGGCTTGTCTGTGTAAATGTCTCTGGCCAGGAGGACTCTGGTCAGGAGGCTTTCTAGGATCTGACGCTCCAGCGGAGTGGAGCTGAACCAGACGGGGTCGCCGGGGCCGCGGGCCGGGTCCGGCTGGACGTAGAAGACGTCGAGGCGCTCCCATAGCAACGGCGGACTGGACGGGAGGGAGAAACGGAGGAGGAGAGGAGACAAAATGGGGTGGGAGGATGAAGGAAGGAAGGATTAGGGTTTTTGGGGTAGAAGTGAAGAAAGAGACGTTAGATGATGACAAAACAAATCTAGTCTAAAAGAAACTAAATGAAGCCACATTTTCAGTCCTCATCTTTGACCAGTCAACATAAAGTTCAGGATGTGAACAGCAAAGAGTTTTAATCACAGGACTGAGCAGGTTTTATTGGACTCCATGTTTGTTTTATCAGATTTTTTAAGGCCATTTCCGTCTGTGTTTTAAACCGTGGCTCTCAAACAGCTTGAGCTACCGTCCGGGGGCCCCTCTTTGCAAACTGACAGGCAAAGCTACAAAATATGTAAAGAAAGATCAACTTTTAGAAAGTTTTCACATTTATATTCTGTATTCTCAATAATTATTACATTTGTTTAGCATAAATACCGCCTAAAACCATAAATCTGACCAGCAGCTAATCAGAATGTCAAACAACATTCAGTTATTTTAACTTGTATTTTATAGTAATTGTTAATATATATTAGATATTTTTTTTATCCTCTGCTGAAAATTGTATTAGATTATTTTTATCGTTTCCTTTTTTTTTCTTGTAATTTTTCCTCAAGTTTTCCGAGTCCTTTACTTTGAAAAACGGTAAAATGAGATTATGCTACATCCTTTACATTTTTCATACTTCTGAAAATACTGTGATATTTAATTTTTACACAATCATATCAAAGGGATCTGATGCTCATAAATCAACACAAACACTTTTCTATTTTAACTTTAAATCTCAGATAAGTGATTTAAATGGGATTTTGATTTTTCATGCTGCAGCTAAAATGCATAACACAACTACAAGAATAATCAAAGTGCGTTTACCACTTGGATCTGTAGAGCTCGTAGAGACGACACTCGTGCTTCTTTACCGGGCAGCGGACAGGCGGGTGGCCCGCCTCGTTTTCGTCCCGTTTGACCTCGGCCTGCTTGCGCTTCCTCCTCCTAGATTCTGTCTGTGCTTCACCTGAGCGTAGAAATGCAGCATTTAGAAAGGAACTGCAGTGAAATATAGAACAGAGATCTCTTCTGAAAGAGGAAAAACCCAAGAAGAAGCAATAAAACATAAAAAAATATATATCCTGGTAAAGATATGCAAAGTGTTGCTTGGTAAAAAATACATTTTAGGAAGTCCAGATATTTTTGTTTATTTCAGATGGTTCTAAATGTTGATAAGTTTTTACCCATTTTATATAAGAAAGCTGAAACATCACTAAGGTCTCAATGTTTTCTCAATGGCAGTGGGTGAAGATAAAATGAAAATAAAACGCTTAACGGAAAAAAATAAAGCATATTCATTTCTTTGAATCTCTCACACTGCAAAAACACAATCTTAGTATATTTGGTTTAGTTTTTAGAGCAAATATTTTAGTCTACTTGAAGTAAGATAAAGCCAACTTAAAAGTAACTTTTCAGCTTGTTTTAAGTCAATAATTCCTTAATGTTGATGGGAAAAGTATTAAAATCTGGTAGATTCTTTCACTTATTACATGGGGGAAAAATGTCTTCTTATGAATAAAAATATAAAATTTGCCAGTGGAGCTTGTAGATGTAACAAATATTAAAGAATTACTTAAAACAAGCTCTTATATTGCTGGAAAGTTACTTGTGAGTTAGTTCTCTGTTATTTCAAGTGTAATAAGATATTTGGTAAGATTTAGTGTTTTTGCAGTGAAGCACCAGACGTATTTGTCTTCATCACATTCTAGAAAAATAAAGTTTAAAGGAGTCAAACCAGCAGTTAACTTGGTATTGAAACCATGTTGATTTAGAAAAAAAAAAATCATCCAATTCCATAAGAAATTGATAGAAAGCCGACACAGGTAGCTGCATTACCGTGGTGATCCTGAGAGATGGAGGGCACGCGGATGCAGACGCTGCGCTCCTTGCTGACAGGATGGATGGTGTCGGGCCCGTAAACGTTGGCGAAGGAGAGGCGCAGGTGCTGCTCCACGGTGCGCAGGCCAAAGTATTTGGTGTTCAGGTAGACCAGCGAGCGGAGCAGGGAAGCCGGACTCTGCTCCCCGAGGTGCCGACCGCTCCACAGGCTCTGCTCCTCCACCCGGCCCCACAGCGAGCCTGAACGCAGCACAAAGCACTCCGGTAAGCGTTGCGAGGAGCCTACGGTCGCCGTGCGACAGACTAGGAACCCCCTCATGTCCTCATATAACTTCAAAAATGCAATCACAGAGCATCAGGATGTGAACAGCAGAAAGGTTATAATCACTGGACATGAGCCTCTGTGCGGCCGGCTGCTGCTGACAGGAACACTTGTGTCCTGCCATGCTGCCACTTCACCATGTCACTGTGCTATCAGTGAGGGATGATGTTGTTTCCAGGCGCCATGCAGAGATGCAGCTTCACATGTTCCACTGATAGCCTCTGGCTCGGGGACGTGGAACGCATTTTCACGTCGGGTCACATCAACATCATGAATGTCTTCAATGATAGAACCAACTAAACGGTTCAAATATCTATAAACAGCTGTTTCTGCATTCGATACTTCTCAAAATTACAACGAGACATTAGGCCAGTATTAGGATTAAATAAAATTACGAGACAAAAGTCATAATATTACAAGAATAAAGTTGAATAACTTCATAATGTTATGATAATAAAATCATATTTTGGGAATAAAGTCGTAATATTCTTCTATTATTTCGACTTAATTCTCATACAAGTTTGTCCCATTTCTGTAAAAAAAAAAAAAAAATTGCTATAATCTCAATTACACATTAGTGGGGAAAAAGAAAGAAAATAAAAAGTGCAGGGATTTACTGATTTGTGTAATTTTCTGTGATCGTGGAATTGCAAAAAATCTGGAGGGACTGATTGATGTAATTTACCAATATTCTGATAAAAGGTGCTTTGACTTGATTGATAAAATGATATTTAATCACATAACTTCTCTAGAAGGTTTTATTCATTCGTCCTTCTGGAGTCTAGGGGCCACATAAAAAGAACCGTTGGGGCTGGATTTGGCCCCCAGGCCTCAAGTTTGACACATGTAAAAACTGCAGGTTGTGAGTTCAGCTCCTCTTACCATCAGGAAGCACACTGGGCTGCCAGTCCTTGAGAACCTTGTTGAGCTCCTTTCCAAACTGCTGGTAACACGGGTCGCTGAACAGATCATCCTTCCGGCCTTTGGCGTGAAGATGCTTCAAACAGAGAGAGAGAAAAAGAAAAGCTCACATCAGCACAGAGGATAAACATGGATGCCGTCTGCGGACGAAGCTTTAGTGTCCTCAGAAACAAAAAGTCAACATCACAGTTGGTCAGGATGTGAACAGCAATGGATATAATCACCGGACACAACTGGTTCACTTAGACTTACAGAAAAAACATCAACACATTTTAACTGCATGTCCAAGACTAAAGCTTTTCAACTAAATTACTCTAGAAACGTTCAACAAAACTTGAATAAATATCCTCTAAAGTCAGATCTTACATTTTTCTGCCAGAAAACTCCGACATGTGATGAGTTTAGATAAAAACGTGCTCCTCCTCTCAGCAGCCATGCTCTGATCCTCGCATGGGTGAAGAGAGAAAAGGCTGTGCACCACTGAAACCTGTCCTACTGGAAACACTCACCCTAAACTCGGTTCCTACCTCCGAAAACAGAACAGCCATGTCAGCAAAAGCCATTTTAATGTTTTACGTTTATTTTAAAAATTGTAGAATTTAATTGTTTGCCCTATTTTGTTACAGTTGTTACAAATAGAGCCAGTAAAATGAGGAAAACTGTCGTTAATTCATACACTTGATCACACTAGGTATTTGCTGATAAAGATTGCTTAAAAAATAAAAAAACAGAAGAAATGAACCTTCGCTGATTATGTAAATGGCATTTTCTGGATTGTGTCTATAGTAAAAAAAAAGGTAAAAGAACAACGACCACATGAAACTGTTTTCACAAAAAAAAAAAAAACTACATTACAAGCAATCACTGTATTAAAAGAAAAAAAAGTTCAGTTCAAGTTTGTTGCAGACCTGCAGAGTAATATTTTATTTTATAAAAGGAAATCTTGAGTTTTCCCACCAACCGGCTAAACAGACATGCAACTCTACAAGTTAGATTTTCATATTTCTCAAAAAGCAAAACGTGCTTAAAAAGCTCATATGGTGAAATTTAGAAAAAAATAAACGTGAAGTCATGAATGATTGTTTTTTGTGGATTAACCCAAAAGCACAACTTCAGGAGAGCAGAAGAGTCTAGACTACCGGTGAAAGCAGTCGACATGAGAACAGCATTGGAAAAGTTTTTTGGCACAATTTACTCTAATTTCCAGAAGAAGAAATAAAAATAAACCCAGCGCGTTATCATGGATGTTTAGTGCAGGAGGTGTATTAACCAACTGTATTCCGTCTTTAACCGTTTATATTATCTGGATGTCATCAGTCATTTTGACGAATTGCAGTTCACGTGCGTGACCACGTGAACGGGAAGCATGGCTGAAGCTTTGTGGGATCTGGCGGTAAACATTTCAGTGCACTGACCTGCTGAATTCCCAGACAGAGGTAGAGGATGCTGTCTGGAGAGTAGCGCTCCCCGTTTGGCCGGCACGCCTCTCTGACGAACCGGGACAGAGCTGCGTTCAGCTCCTCCGCGTTCAACGACAACAGGTTGCTTTTCGACCGAGCTGCAAGACACGGAAACGTACACAGGCTCTTAACTGCGAATAAACTGTGGAACAGGGAGGGAAAGAGGATCAATATAATCAAAGTAACGCATGTTGTCTAAAGTAAGACGTCTTCAATAACTGTAGATTCCTGGAGGAAAATCCAGCACCAACCAGGAAGGTTCTCCAAGTCTCAAAGTGTTTGTGTGTCAGAGGAGGGAGGCTACAGGAAAAAGCAACAAACATGAGTGACTTAACTAATGTTCTGACAAAACAAACATAAATAAATGACATGGCTCTGATGATAAAGCACTGGGCTCATCATCTGGGAGGTGATTTCATAGCCGTCCTTCACTGAACACAAGCTGAAGTGCTGCTTCGTAAAGTCTTCTTTACGAAAATCAAAGTTTGTTGGCATTTGTGAAGGTGAACTTGCATTATGATGTCACTGTCAATATAATCCTTGAAAATCGTCTCAAAACAACAATATTTAAAGACAATTCATCCTCCAGCAACATTTGTTTTGACAACAGTAAAAATTCTGCATTAAATACACCATTTGATTTATGAGCCACGATGCATTTATTTAGTTTTGGGGAAAAAAAAAAAAAAAAAAAATTTAAATATATATATATACCGAAAGAATAAATTTTCTTGGTGTCCCAACCAAAACCCAGGTTAAAAACTGTAAAATCCCTTTTCACCCCCCAAAATTAAGTTTTTATCAATTAGATAAAAGAATAAAGGAAAAAATCTACAGACTTTTCAGACTCATGTCTTTTTCAAAACCTTATCTGGACTTGAAAAATATGAATAAATAAAACTCCAAACTTCTAGGCCACTCCGTTATCTTCCAGTATAATCAAGTCCTAAACTTAATTCTCTGTGATTTTTAAGAAAAAAATTTTTTTTTAGGAAAAAAAAAAAAAAAAAAAAGAAAAATAGTTGATTTTGAATTTTGCAGTTTGGAAGAGCCTTTTGTGACGGTCATGAAAAACAGTCCAGGCTGCAACTTCCCATTTAAAAATAAAACACAAAACAATTTCATTTCTTTCCTTTTACATGTAAAAATAAAAACACATCAAATATAAAGCTGAATCAAAATCCCACGTTTAGGCGTTACAGAACTGAAGCCGACATCAACAGTAAAGTGAAGATGTTAAAGTATCAACATGCATCCTGTGTGTAGCAATAAACTCCCTGAAATAGACCAACATAACCTTTTTCTTTTTGTAAATGTCGGCTTGTAAACCATTCACTTCAGGTCTGCATCCTAGTTTTTCATTCATGTTCTCTATGTCTGGGTTCAGCTCACTTGGTTTGGAGGTATCCTTTTCTTTGGTGTCTTCTGATTGGTCAGAGAGCGCCCAGCGTTTCCAGGCGTTGATGCCGTAGCGAGACTTGAGGGGCAGCGACCTTCCTTCCAAGTTGCTGCTCGGACGTGACGGAGAGGACGAAGGCAGATCCTCCACGGCCTGCCTTTTACTCCCCTGGAACAGAATCGTTAGAGTCATCAGGCTGCGTGCCGAGCTGGAGGATAACACGGCTATCTTCACGCGTCTGAACGCACCAGTCTTCTGGGCCGAGGTCGAGGCGCACACTCCTGCAGCTCCTCCTTCTCCTCTGCCAGGACCGGAGGCAGAGAAAAGCTCATGTCCTCGTCCATTCCCTCCAGCACCGGAACGGGATCCGACGCTGAGGACGGTACGCACAAAAGATCAGGTGAATTATTCACCGGTTTGTTTAAATATGCAGAAATGAGTTGCAATGAGGAACCACTAAGGGAAATCCTTCACACTTCTCTCTGAAAGAGCCCAACGGTGAGGCCAAACTGTTTTCCCATGATGCTGCAGGCTGCAAACATTTGGGTTTCTACTCTGCGTCCCCAGAACCAAACATTCAGTTCTTGTTCCCCACTGAACTTCCAGAAAACTGGAAAACTGCTCCAACGTTGAGCTCCTTTAAATCAAGGCTGAAAACTCACAAGTTTAGAGCTGCCTGTGATTCTTAAAAACTGGAACGTTGATTAATATATTTTATTTATATTTGCCTAATGATTTTGATGATGATATTTGACAAAATGTAATGTTTATTTCTGGTTTCCCAATTGGTGGCTGGATGATGTTTTTGTTACCTAAAGCTCTTTGAACTTCTATACAAAAAAACTTGACTAACATTTTGTCTTTCAAATCCAGGTTACAACTTTCAGCTGCGTTTATTTAGTGTAATAGGACACGCCTCGACATCCGTCATTAAAGACGCTCCAATTTATTTTATTTTTTTGCTTACTTACAAATCTGCTGTTCTAAGTAATGCTGCCTTCTAAATCGAGGAATTCGTGGTGTATGAAATATTTTTTACTTTTTTCTCCCCTGTATGTGAGCAATCAGGGACAGACTGTCCAAGATAACCCAATAAACCTTCAATTATGCAGCAAGAAAAGTTTTTCACACCCAAATACAAAGCGAGATGATGAGACAACTCAGGCACTTTTCCAAATCCCTTGACAAAATCCAAACCTTAAAAACATGAGCCTCATCAGTGCTGAGAAAAAAAAACCAACAGAGGGAGAAATATTTGCCTCAGTTGTTGTACTGACCCACCAAAAAGCTGCAGATTCAGATGGCGCCAGATAAAAGCTCTAATAAGTGACAAACTAAAACAGGGACGGTCAGTGAGAAGATCATCATGGACCTCAGAGACTAAAAGATTTCATTTTTTTTTGGCCGTATAAGTCCGTGTACCCGACAGCTAACAGGATAAATCCGGATAAACAAACAAGCCGCGATGGGCTAAAGCTTCAGTTCTTCCTCTGCAGGCAAAAATGTGACGCAAGAAGTGAGATAACAGAAGAGAGTAATGGTTCAGATTGAATTAAAGCGACTCCTGGAGCTTGGACGACACCGTGATGGTGACAGAACGGTATTTTAGGTACAATGTGTTGATCGTTGCACAGCCGAACGTTCAAATGATTCAGTCTGATGAACTCAGTAACAGTTTGCCTTTGATAAGAGCCTTAAAACGGCTACGGCGCTTTGAAATGCTGTGCAAAATGTGTTTTTTTTGTACAGTTTTGGATTAATTACAGCTCTCACTGCATTGTTCTTTTAACAAAGGGCCTTTTTTTGGATCTGTAAACTCCAATTAACGATTAATCGATTACTCAAATAGTCGATTATTTCAGGAGTAAGAAATATTTATAATTTATCGTTTCAGTTTATGTGGGTGGCAACATTATGACGTGGAAATGGTCTTTTTTCAGCAGAATTGAGGAAGAACATGGATTTAACAAAATAAAGCTAATAATTTAGCGTAAGGACAAAAAACTTCAAATAATTTAAAAAGTTTTCCTGCTGCTTCACAAATATTTATTTAATTGTGTTTGTCTATCACATAAAATTCCCACAAAATAAGTCTGGATTTCCACTGCATCTGTCTGAGAGCCTTTGTGTGCGTTTTTTGTTTTCTTTCTTTCTTTTGTCTGTTTTATTGGATCGATTGTTTATCTGATTGGTCATTTGTTCCTGACCTTAATGTTTAAAGCACATGTTTATTCGTATACAAATACATGCAAACTTGGACTACAACAGTGTGAATTATATCTTTATGGTTATTAAGAATATAACAAATGTATGGATGCTTCCTGTAAAATGTCAGGACGGTGTTTACCTTGAGGGAAGTCTGCCTCTAGGTCCAGATTGGGCTCATACTTTTCATCCTCCTCCTCTTCCTCCTCTTCTACCTTCTCCTCTTTTTTGGCGTCACAGCTGGAGGATTCCTCCTTAACGCTTTCTCTCTTCACCGCCAAAGGCTTCACATCTGAAACGTTCAAACCAGGCAGACTCGTTGACACTTCTGGCAGGTTTTATCGAGCAGACTTGTTTCTGAAGTGTCCGCGCTTCAGCAAAGCCGCGTGCGACTCGCCACATTTCGGCAGACTCTCACCTGGTTTCTCGTCGTCGTCGTCGATGACCACAGCTGCCTCTGCGGTACTAGAGGGCGCCTCGCTTTTCAGGTCTTTCATGGTATGGATAATCTGTTCTGCCCCCTGGAGCGTGGTGGGCAGAAACACAGGCACAGGAACCTGGAAGGAGCAGGATTTAGGCTTTAATAAAAGTAGATCGCCTTGAATATTTCCAGTTCCAGAAGGCTGTATTTTTTAAATTTATCCTTCGGTGGTGTCCAAACATTTTACCATGAGGGTCAAAGTCGTTAAGATGAAGCACAATTTTTAACATCTTTTTTAACATTCTTTAAAAAAAAAAAAAAAAAAACATTTTTTGTGCCTTTTTAATTTAATTGTATTAAAATTAACAAAACTGTCAGATTTTTAATTGGTAAATAGTTGCAGAAGGAAATGTATATATAAAAAAGGTCTTGCATAATTAGAGCTTTTCCATTTTGGATTGATTATTTGCTTTCAGGAAAAATTAGGTCGATGTTTGTGGTTCTAGTTACTCCAAACGTAAAATGAGTGCAAAAAACATAGTTAATAAATCCAAAACCATTTTTTGTCCCTATTATTTTTTAAGACGATATTATTTATCTGTAAAAATAAAAAAGCTGTCCTAAAAGATGAGTGTCAACCATCTATGCTAACAAGGTAGATTTGCTCCAATCTACGAATCAGCAAATTGTTCAGAGGGCCATAAATGGCCCCTGGGGGCCTCACTTTGTCTGAAACAACTTCATCATAACATGTGCATGTGTGTTTACTTTTGACAGTGACTGCGTTGATGAAACACGGGGCTCACCGGTAGAGGCATAGAGACTGGAGTGGGGGTGACCTGGGCGTACATGTTCATAGGCATTGGGATGAAGACGGGAACAGGGATGGGTACGGGGATATACTCCCTCTTCACGCCGTCATCTACGTCTGCAGACAGAGAAATGCCACGTCAGAGTCCAGCATGAGCAAATCAGTGAGAGCAGAATACTTCTGTGCAACAGGCTGGGCGTTAAGGCTTGAATATAAAGTCTTACTTTTTTTTTTTCCCCATACCAGATTGATTTTTTTTTTTCCCACCCTCGCTTTTATTTTCTGAAATGCGTCTTTTTATTCCAATCGTCTCTTCTGTGGGTTTTACGACAGAGCATCAGGGCTGGGCTATGAGAATTTTTGTGTAAATACAAGAAAATAGTCAGAATATTTTTCTTGGATTGGAAGAATTCTTGTATTATTTTGACTTTATTGTCATATGACTTTAAAACAAACATCTTAGCCTGACCATTATGTTCCACTGCAGAAATACATCAAAATCCAAATATATAGAAGCTGCTTGTCAAACAAGATGGCGGCCGTGGGAGCGCTGTCGTCACGCTGAACGATGGAAACCCAAGAAATGCTTTGGTGGTGGAGGGAGGGAATCCAGATTTTCAAAAATCAAAGAAATTGATTTATCGCCCAGGCTCACAAAAAAACATAAAAATAAATGAAAATAAAATAATTTTGACTTTTTCCCATATTTTGTCACGGTACACCAAACCTTCCTGTACTTAATATAATTTACAGATCTAACAGTAGCTGATATTAACTCTGAACACATTGCAGAGTCCCAGTTTACTCTGAATGCAGCTGCAAGCTTTTAAGGTTTGTGGTGGTAAAGTGACAAAATGAGGGCAAAGTTCGACTGGCTGCGTCATATTTTACCCGTCTGTAGATGTTTGCTCTGCATGTGTGGTTTGCAGTAGGTGGCTTTGGTCAGGGTGAGCGGTTTGCACAGCACCGCTTTATTCTTCACATCTCTGATCACTCCTCCACTGGAGTACGCCACAGGACTCTGGTTCACCAGCTGGAATACGAGAGAAAATGAAGCGGCTAGCATAAACGGAAATCAGCACAGATCAGTCTGCAGGCCGGTCACAACGACAAACTGTCCCAGTAATTACTGCCATAAACGATAACATTGTGGTTTTGAGACCATTTTTAAACAGTAATGGCACAATAACTCAAGTTTGTTCTCTCAAAGGCCAATAAACTTTAATTTTGTAACAAACACTTAACACTGGAAGGCAAAGATATTTTAAAATATCCAAAAATAAAACAACCAAAAACAAATGAAACAAAAAACACACAACCGAAACCATGAGTAAAATAGATTTTCCTCCGTAAACAAAATTGCTCTTCAAAAATACATATTGTATTTATTATGCCATTAACTGATTAACTGCGTACTGCGACAGGCTTTTCTGCAGGTGTGAAAGGTTTGATTTGTCATACATTACGAATAATTTCATGCTCTCAAGAAAAGTATTTGATTTTTATTTATTCATTCTTACTTACCCCAGATTTTGCGGCGTGCATGTCTAGACCTGTAAGGAGGGAGGGAAAAAAACACAGATCATCTCAAAAAGAGTTAATTTCTTCAAGCCGACTGCTCAGTTGTTGAGATTTTCTTCAGATGAAGTGCAAGTACTGGAGTAGCTGCGCCTCTATTTTAGCAGCAATAGTTTGTGTTTTGTTGGATATTAGAAAAATAAATATAAACAAGAGATTTGGGATCTTCATTTTTTGTTTGTTTTTGTATTTTTTTTTTACTCACGGTTTTGTACACATCCGTTACTTTTCTGAGAGTTCCTTCAGAGTGACACAGCTACCGGATCTGTTGCCATGACCTACTTTTCCTGAAAGCTATCCTGACTACAGCTGATCAAATAAAAGTTCATAGAATAAGAAGCTTTATGCTCCTGAGGCAGAGCAGTTTGTTGAAAGGCTTGAACTTCCCCTAAAAACAAACAAATGTATTAAGTCTGAAACCATTAATCAGATTAATCGTAATGAAACTATTATTGAAATAATCAGCTAATTTAGTAATCGATTAATCGATGACTTGAGCATACAGACTAAAAACGAACACACTCAGAGCCAAAACTGTACAGAAAATGTACACAATTTGCACTTAATATAAAAAAATAAAACCCTTGTCTTCCAGATCAGCCTTGATGTACGCATTTCTAATATTGTATGAAAAAGTGGCAAAATCAAAAATCTGCAGAACTTGCCATTTTTTAAAATCAATTTATCAAATAATCGATTACTAAAATGTGCAGGAAGCGTCTCGGCCCGTACCCAGCGTGGTGTTCTCTGGTCCCTTCTGCGTGACCATGATGGGGTCGTTCTGCTGGCAGTAGAACCTCAGCAGACACTCCTGGTCGCAGAAATGCTTCATCTCCGACCTCCACATCACCGACTCCGTCAGGTTTCCCTGAACCTTACAGCAGTCGCACCGCGCCGCCTGGTGGCCAAGCAGAGGAATGTTTCGGAACGTTAACACCCTTTCTTTTTCCCCCCTCCCCCCCAACAAATCAAACCGCCCGTGAATCGGTTTAACTTTCTTTTCCAGGAGAGAGCTGACCTTGTAGTACCAGTCGTTGAACTTTTTGGCACAGGCCTCGCTGCAGAAGTCCCGGGTCATGTTGCCGAGCTGCCGGGTGATGCCTCTTTTGCACAGTTGGCTGCAGTGGTTGCAGCTCACACACTTCAGCCCCAGCCGGCTGATGAAATCCTGTTTAAACAGCAGCTTGCAGCCTGGAGGAGCAGAAAACAAATATATATGTAAAAAAAAAAAATGCAGGATGAAGAAAAAAAAAAAAAAAACAATTTGATTTACTCAAACCTTAATGACTTTGAATTAGGAGAAAGAAGCCACTTAAGAACCTGATTTCACTAAAGCGGCTTAGAAAAAACACTCAGATTGTACCTACTTCAACCTCTCAAGGAAAAGTTGCATTCGTTAAGAGTCCTTGAGGAGAACGGAGGCGGTACCTTCGCTGCAGAAGGGCCTCTTGACGCCAGAGAACTTGACCATCTCATGAAGGGTCTTCTCTTCTTGGCAGTACTCGCAAAACGTCACGATGCAGTGGAGCTTCTTGTAGTCCTCACAGCAGGTCTTACTGCAGAACTGATAGACCTTATCCTGAAAACACACACACACATTTATGTCAATATTACTGCAGCCATTTCAAGTCAAGATTAGTTTTTTGTCATAAATTTTTTTTTTTCCCCTACATCTTTAAATTTACAGAAAGTGATAGTAAAGTCATTTTGTAGTGACTGGAAAATGCTTTTAAATAAATAGATAAATTGTTTATACTTTAAAGAGTCGGCTCATTTTTAGCAGCAATACTTTTAAAATGGAGATAGAAATGTTTAAATGAAGTGAAAACTCATTTATCTAATGTCTGCTAGTTGCTCCTTAGTTGTCCAAAATGTGGTCCGACAACTAGCGGGTTACTTTGGGACATTTCTGACGGTCTGACCTGCCACTCCAGAATTTCGGGCTTCAGGCTGAACGCTCCTCGGCAGTAATTACATTTCAGCTGGACAGAGCTGTTGCTGAGGGGCGTCTGACCGTTGGTGGTTGTCGGAAGGGAAGCGTTCTGTAAAGAAAGGAGGGAAAAAAAACAAAAAGCTCAGGCGTAAAACTGCTAAATTATTTAAACAAAACTAATTAACTCACTTAATATGGGTGCAAACCTGCCTTTGTAAATTTTAGGTTAATATCTTGAACAGAAATGAACTCCTTAAATATGTTACGCTCCGTTTACTGAATCTGTATAATAAAAGTTTCTCTCTTTGTATTGATTAACTGGAATATATGAACAATTTAACAATGTTCTATTTTATTGAGATGAACCAAGAAAGTAAAAACCCAAAGTGCCCAAACAAACACATAAAATAGAAATGAGTTGTTTTCCAATCCCTTTTCCTCCTCTACCAACGACCTGTTGTACTTTTAATCTACAGCATCAAAACAGCAGAAGCATCTTTTGTTTCAAGTTCTCACCTGGAACTTGGCAACACATTGGGAGCTGCAGAAGTTGAGGATGTCGCCCTCTGGCAGCGTGGCCTGGTACTGCGGCAAAGAGCTTCTTTTACAGAAATGACATGTAGGTTCCTTGTCTGCACACGCACAAAAAAAATGTATAAAAATAAACATTTTTCACTGTATTTTTGTGCCCCTCTTGATACATGAATTTGTATTTACTAATTTACTAGTCACAAATTAAAAACTGTACCCGATTCATGTTAAATAACAAAAAAGCACAGATACAGTAGTGTAGATAACATGTTTGCCTCCTTCCTGTTTCAGAACATCAAACCAATTTAAATATTAGTCAAAAGAAACACAAGTAAGCAAAAAAAAATAATATAAAGTTTTTAAAACAATGTTTAAGGGAGGAAAAACTCAAAACCTCTTCAGAAGCTAGACATTACATCGAGATCCACAGAAACTCAGGAACAAACGAGGAAGAAAGTAATCAAAATGACTCTGGAAAGGGTCACACAGCCGTTTCTATGGCGTCGGGAACCACAGTGAGAGTCGCTGTCCACACATGGAGAAAACCTGGACCAGTGGCAAAGCTTCCCTAGAGTGGTTCCCCGACTAAAATTACCCTAAGAGCGCAGCGATGACTCATCCAAGAGGTCATAAAGACCCAGCAACAACATCCAGAGAAGTGCAGGCCTCACTTGCCTCAGGCCAAAAATGGTTCCAAGATGAAAACCACTAGTGAGCAACAAGAACGTCAAGGCTGGGCTCAGCTTTCCCCAGAACACGTCTTGATAATCCCCAAGAGTTTTGGGAAAACATTCAGAGGACCGACGAGAAAAAATTGTTTAATCTTTGTGAGTTTGTGTCCCGTTACATTAGGCGTAAAAATAACACTATACCCGTGGTACAACACGGTGGTGGTAGTGTGATGGTCTGGGGCTGTTTTGCCGTGTCCGGACCAGGAAGACCTGCAGTCATAAATGGAAACACAAATTCTACTTTCTACCAAAACAAAACAAACAAAAAAAGAACATTCTGAAGGTGACGTCAAGCTGAAACTAACTTTGGTTCTCCAAACACACCAGCCTCCTAACACACCTCTGGATGGTTGAAGAACAAGACGACGACTTTGGAGTGGCCTAGTCAAAGTCCTTACCTGAATGCTATTGAAACTACTTTAAAAAGCTTGAAAACCCTCCTGAATTAAAACTATTCTGTAAAGATGAGGGACTGCAGCTGTTGCTGCCGAGGTTGGCCCAACCAGTCATTAGGCTCCCTTAATAATAAACACCTTCTTTTAAAACCGCATTTTGTGCCAACTTGGGTTGTCTTTGACTAATACTTAAATTAGTTTGTTGTTCTGAAACACTGAAGTGCGACAATCACGCAAAAAAAAAAGGAAATCATGAAGGGTGCAAACAATTTTTAACACTACTGTTCCTGAACAGACCCAAGCATTTGATTCATTATTATTTATACTGAATAAGGAACAGAGCAAATCCATGTTGAACAAATTGAGAACTTCTCTACCATCAGCTTTAAAAACATGAACCTGACTGCTGTTGTTTTACACCAGATGTTGAGACATGCAATTAAAGATGATCTTAAAGCAGTCTGCTTTTAACTTAAGTGCTCAAAGGTTTGTCAAATCCTGTGCATTCTGATTAAGGATGCAGCGATGCACTTTATTTTACTTCCAATACCAATATGTGAGGTTTGGCATCAGCAGATTCTGATCTGATTCAGAAAAACGCTGCTGAATTTACTTTTTCAGACAAATGTACTGAATTACAAATTTATTTTGATAACTCTGCACCAGTTATCAAACAAATCCATCACTTTAATACACCGATAGCTTCATAAGTTTAGTCAAACATGTAAAAACAAAACAACTTTTAATTTGTTCAGTCAGTTCAGAGAAGCATAACAGCCTCTGTAAAGTAAATAATAAAGAAACTAAGACAATAGATTGACTATCTTGGTGCAAAATAAACAGTAACAAACTTTCTCTAAACTGGTTCAGAAAGTGCAAATAGGAATTAAATAAATAATTGAATGTAAAATAAATAATAAATTATGACGTCACTCAGAGCACGAAGCATAGAATTAGACCAAACAGATCTGCCCTTATGGATCGGGCACAGTGCCACGATACCTGATCTAGAATTCTTTCCAGTATCGGTACCGATACCAGTATCGGATCGGTGCTGAGTACTCACTGATGAACGACGTCAGCTTGCCCTTGTTCATACAGCTGACGGAGCAGTAGGAGCTCAAGGTGCCGCCTGCGCCGAGGCTTTGGAGCACCTCCCCCGTCTTGATTAGTGTTTTGCAAGTCATACAGCTGGCGAGTTTACTGTGGGCCTGCGTGGGAAAAAACATCATGTCAAAACAAGATGCAAACGAAAGCATTATGATAAAAAAAAAAAAAAACAATAACAAAAAAGGAACAGCAGGGCGGCGGAGGGTGTTTACCTGTCTGTAATCCCTGATGCAGTTCTGGCAGCAGAAGCGTTTCTGCTGGCCGTCGACCAGCAGGAAGTGGTTGGCCGACGCCCGGCTGGGCAGATAGTCGCCACACTGCTCGCAGCAGTTCATGATCAGCCCGTTGGCTTTGCGGTAAACATTGAAACATGTGTCGCTGCAGATCTTGTGGGTCACGTTCTTAAAGCTGACCTCATGCCGAATCTGGAAGACAGGGAAAATGAAACTATCAGAGCAGAAAAAAAAAACGGACTCTCCACGCAGTTAAACTTTAATCTACGTCACTCAACGGTTAAAAAGTTCTTTTATGGTAGAATACGCATCAAAATGAATAGTGAAGATCAGAATTTGATGGTGAGGCATACTGTAGAGAGAAAGCAGGAAAGAGCGGTCAGACAGATTGAACTAGATTATACCGAGGCCAGATGAGAATAAAGATAGACGAAAGATGAATAATTCATTGTGTGAGGGGAAATACAATACGGCAAAGTCGAGATAAATAGCAATATGATGGTGAAGGATATGGTTTGACAAGAGAACGACGACTGGAAGATAATGCAACAGGACTCTGCCATGTAACATGCAATAAAAACAAGCAAAACCAGAAGGCCCAGGTAGAGTCAAACTGAGTCTATGCTACAGAGTAATGAAAGATGTGACGTATGGAGCGGCCTGAGAGAATTAGAGTTTCCTCTGGGCTGGACCAAACCTCCATCTTGGTTTAGCTCAGAACTACACAGATAAATGATTCTGGTAAACAAAGGAGCTACACATGCTTCACCACAAATAAATGTCCAGCATACTTTTATAATGCTCCAACACACGGAGCCTCACTATAACCCTTCATTAGTCATTTTTATCTTTTTTTTTTTCATATTTTAGTGAATTATGAGGGAAATCATTTGAAAATAGTGTTCCAAGAAAGGTTACAGCAGCTGTGTTTTTACAGTAGTGGTGGGCGATACGGACTTAAAGTTTTATTGCAATATTTGGTGTCACAAATGCGATAATGATAAAAGTGATAAGAACAATTTATTACTTCCTTTTTTGGTAACTGTACAGTCGTAATTGTGTGTCACAGCAATTATAGCCCCACAAATACAAATTCTGCTCTTGAAAAACATTCCCATCTGTAATGTGCTTCTTTAGGACATTTGTAATGGAAACAACGCTCGAGACAGGTACCACAACAGGTTAAGTTAAAAAAACACCTATCCAAGCAGTGAAGCAGTTTGGTTTTCTAGATCCTGCAGCATTATTATGACATTTAAAGCCTCATCCCGTCTGCTTGATCTTCCTCCTGCTTTTCTCAATACCTAGGGAAGACTGCGGTTTAAAGAGAAAGTAGATCGACAGATCAGTTTGTCTCTGGATCCCTACAGAAGCCGACCGAGGATCAATAGCTTAGTTTGTAAAAGAACTAGATGGCCATGAACGCTCTTTTACAACGCTGAGCGGAGTGAAAGACTACAGATTCCTGAATCACTGACCTGAGTTTACAGGGAGTCCTGCAAACAACGACCTATAAATCCCAAACTGCAGCCTGTGTTCAGAAACGGGGTTTACAACTTCCAGTAAAATTGCAATTGTGAACATGGCTCTACCAGGTACATTCACGTCTTGGGAGCGACAAGTAAGAAATGAATGAATGAATGAATAAATCAGACGTTGCGGTTGCTGGACAGACTGACCTCTGTGAGTTTCCCGCAGACGGTGCATTTGTTTTTCAGGCCTGTTTTAGGCGGGTTGTTCTTGTTCTCGTACGCGCCCAAGCAGCCGGTCGTACAGAACTCCTGAAAAGACTCGCTAGAGTCCACCTGGGCCACAATGGTGCCCTTAATGTGTGTGATGTCCCTGTGGAAAGAAAAAAAGACAAGGAAGTCGCATGGTTTAGTTGACAAAAAAAAAAAAAAATCCACAGAAAATGGGAACCTAAAAAGAAACTTGTGGCTAAAGTAAAAGTCTGTTACGAGCTTGTGATGTGCATTTTCAGGCATAAAAAGAGAAAATGAAAGGCTGACTTTTTGCACATGGTGCAGGTCTTCTTGGGTGCAGGTTTGTGTGAGAAGGCAGAGAGACAAGTGGTGGAGCAGAACAAGTGAGAGGAGCCTTTTCGCTGGTAGGCTGTCTGGCCTTTCTTCAGAGGCTTTTTGCAGTTGGCGCAGGTCACCTGGGAAGAAAAACACAGATTTAACAGAAAGAAGCTTTCCAAATGTAGAAATACTACACATTTGTAATTTTTCTGACCTTTTAGCTAATTTTCAAGTACACATCTAAAGTTTCCTATAAATTTATGACAGGTATCCATCGTGGATGTAAGGCTGGGTGTTAAGGCCTTAAACTAACATCTTACATTCTTTCATACCAAGTGCAATTTTAATTGATTTTTTTCTAGTCACTTTCTTTTCTTCAGAGAAGAAAAAGTGTGATATGAATTCATGGCAGATATCCATTCATCATAGATCGATCAGGTATGGGTAGTGTGGAAACAACCTCTTTTTCCCCAATAATCTCTTTTTTTGCAACTACATCCAAACCCGTCGCAATAAGCAATGAATCAATTGATCACATGATGGATTAAAATGAGCCGATAATTAATAATTTTTCAAGGCCAGTGTTGTTTACAGAGACATCACGATGCATTTTACTTATGGTTTAGTTGCTTCCAAGTTTTTATTTTCATTTTATTCACCGTTTTTGTTTGTCTTTTATTTTGGAGGGCAAATTTTATAATAATACAATATACATCAGACACCTTTCTACCCATGTCTTATATTGTCTAATGTTTTGTCTTGTTTTTAAATCTATAGATTTAAAAATAGTCTCAAAATAACAATATTATCATTTATCGCAGCAATTACTGGGACAATTTATCACCCAGTAAAATGCATCATTATGAGAGGCCTACCTACATACATTATTTTTCTATAAGATGGTGGATACAACACATCTGACTGATTGAACCCACCTTGACGGTCCTGGGTTGTGTCTGGGAGCCTGAGGATGAGGTGGAGGAGGAAGACTGGCCTGCAGGCTTTGGCAGCGAGGTGATAGGCGACGGAGAGTCCACCCCACTTTGCTTCTGGTTCCGGGGAACCGAGGCCGACTGAGAGATCCATGAGTCTACAAGAAGGAGGAGGAGAAGAAATCTTACCTCCATGGTTGCACATTTAGAATCACTCATTTGGTATTTTTATTGGACACATAGCCACAGGTGGCAGAGAGAGGCTAAACACAAATGTGGCATTTTAAAAGCTGCAGCGAATGCCTGAAACACTCAGAGAATCCTAGCATTAATAAGAAAACATCCTACAGAAACTTCTAAAAGGCTGACTTAAACAGCAAACAAGACATTTCTAAAATTTTAAACAAATCCCAATCAATGATTGAATTGAAACAGAGCAACTAAAAACAACCAAAACAATAAAACTGAGAATTTTAGAGCCTGTAAATCATTTAGTGGGGGCAAAAAAATAAAATAAATCAATAATGATGATTAATCTGGAAATATTGATTTCCACAATCGTGTGCAGATGTGTAGCATGCTGCAGTAAAAACCCAGTTTGAAAACTGTAAATCATGACAATCTGGATGTAGTGGTGTGGTGCTGCTGCTGGACGACGTACTGGTCAACCAGAGCCCAGTAATTCCTGTCCTAAGCAGATTCCCAGTTTAGGATTAAAGTGCATCTGTTAAATCCTCCAACTCCACACAATTTACTCCCCCATGATTAATAAGGAATGTCCATATAGTCTGTGTAAAAAGACAAAACATGTAATGTAGACATTATAGCGTACAGCACCTGCATAAATATGGGTCATTTTTCTAATATATGAAAGATAACAGGGATCTTTAGTGAAACAGGAAGCAAGTAGTGCATAGTGGTGAAGTAGGAGGATAATAATTTGTTATTTTCAAAGATTTATACAAAGATGGAGATGTTGAAAGGCTCAAAATTAAAAATTCTCGATACTGCAAACCCAGAACATTCACTCCTTTAACTTTCTACAGAAGCCTAAATGAATCAACTGAAAATGTATTAAAACTTATTCAAACTGTTCTATATCCAATGCTTTTCCTCCTATTACATTGTGTGTCGTTTTTTTTTTTTCCACATGAATTCCCCCCAAAAATAAATCAAAGTTTAAGGTTGTAATGTGAAAAAAAGGCTCGACTGCTTTTGAGAGGCGGTTTAGTTAGTCCTTGGTCTCGGATGACACCAAGGACGGCAGCGGGAGGCTTTAATTCTTCATGAGTGCCGCTAGCCGGCCCCGTCTTCCGGCGACCAAAACGGCAGAGGGCCTACTGCACCGTTCACCCGACAGGAAACGGTTAACTCCAGACGTTACCTGCTCCTTTGTGCGTCCCCGTGTCTCCGTTCTGAACCAGCTGGCTGGCGGAGCCTCGGCCGGGGTTAAAGGAGGCGGTTGGTCGAGCAGATGGGGTGTCAGGATTCAGACTGAAGGCACTGCTGATCTGCAGACCGTTCTCCTCTGTCTCGTTTTCATCCGCCTGAGGGCAGATGCAGCAGAGGTTACAGGTTTTCCATTTTCCCCCTCATTCAGCAGAAACATCCGAAAGCAACGCGATGAAGAACCAATGACATATGAAGGGCAATGCGATTTCTGCGATGCGGAAAACGCGGACGGCGGTTGTGGAATTTGATAAACAAAATGGAATTCATAACCACACACAATTTCACAGAATTAGCCGATATTGGAGAAAAGTGGAGGATGTACAGCAGTCTGTAGTATTTTGGCCATAGCAGCTCCTGTAGCCACAGTTAGCTGGTTAGGCTGGGCTCTCTTCTCCACACAGACAGAATGAACCGTTCAGCCATGGTGGAAAAAAAAAAAAAAAAAAAAAACTTTCCGAAACGTTGACGTCTTCACTTCAAAAATAAAGTTTTCTGTACATTTTGTCTGGAGGCGCAAGGATACAACTTCTTGGAAACATAAAAAACAGCTCGCCACATCTTGTAGGTGACTGTTGCTCTGTGTCCCAAATTTTAGGATCAACTCTCTCAAGCCTTGTTAAAGAGGAGATTTTCTTGTATGCTGGTAAAAACCCGATTCTCAGTTTTTCACATTTTTTAATTCTTTAAAACAAATGAGGGGGAAACACTTTAACACCTTGTAGAACCAATGTTCTGTTAAACCACAGAAGTCTGTTATATTTGTGACACAGAATAATAGTAAATGTGGAACTCTAGTTAATGATTTGTTAATTTTTTTTCCATTCACAACATAATTACATACTTTTTGGGTAAATAAAACAAGGTAAAAGGGCAGTATTATGGGCTTTGCAGGCACAGAGTGCCATTTTATAGCATAAACTAGTAACTATGGTACCTTCACTAGTTGCATGTGTATCAAATATGACTTAAGAAATTTTACTTTCTGATTTAACACCTTGAAATTTGGTCTCTCTCTCTGTATAAATTCCTGCTCTTCCTGAAACTCGGCCTTCAGGAGCTCATCACCACATCGTTCCTCTATTAGCAACGTTTAGACCAGCATTATACACAGCAGTAGCTCGAATAAAGAGCTCAGCCAATGTGCAGCTCCACTAGGTATTTGCTAATTGCTGCTAGCTAGTCTGAAGGAGCTGAAGGGGGAAAGGTTGCTCTGTGAGGGAAGCTTGGAAACTGCAGCTCAGAGGAGGAGCTGCACCTCGAAGGTGGAGCTACATCTACCCAGGCGTTTTGAATGGTCGCCATGAGATTAAAGGATTTCTCAAACATCCATAAAAGAATCAAAGCAACACTCCAGGTGCGTTTCTGATGAGGGAATAACGTCATAACACACAAAAAAAGTTGATTTTATGTCATACTACCTTTGAAATTGGAAAACAAAAAGAAATTTAGGAAAAGAAAAACAGAAGTGGAATTTGTACAGTCAGATTTCATAGGGCCTCAACTCATTGTCCTAGTCGCTCTCCACCCAATAGAACCGCTTCATCTCCACCTGCGCTTCCAGTGCTAATCCTCACCTCTCCAACTGCCGCCGCTCCGCCTTGGAGGGACGTCACTGAGGTGATCATCAGGTTGATGTCGGCCTGGGCATCATCTGGATGCGGCGGCGTGTTGGCCGCCGAGCCCCTCTGGTTGCTGGAGCCCAGAGTGGTGACGCTGGAGATCCTTATCTCCGAGTCCGGGTCGTTGCTGCTGAACGCGGCGGGCGAGTGGGAGGCGGAGGACTCCCCGGGGAGCGCAGGTGAGGGGGAAGAGTTTTCTTTCTGTTCACAGTCCTCCTCGTCGTCGATGACGATGGGCTCCGGGGCTGCGGTCGGCGGCTTCTGGTACGCTGCCGCCGTAGTCGTCGCCGCCATGGATGCGTTGGAAGACGGAGGAGAGTTTGGGCTCTTGGAAGGCGTTTCTGCTGCGTCCTCTGCCGCAGCGCCCGCATGCTCGGCACTCTCCGCGTTGGGTCCGTCTGGAGAAGAGGTTGCAGCAGCAGCAGCAGCGTGAAGCGGCTGGGAAGCCTCCTCCTCTACGAGAACAACATCATCATCCTCATTGTCCTCTGTGCCACCCTCCTTTGTGGCTTCGTCTCCCGTTTCCATGGACACCGGCTCCCCAGACTCCTCGGCAGGAGGTGGGGATGGCGGCTGGGAGGAAGGAGTGGCGTCGAGGGGCTCCGCCCTCTCCTCCACGTCCTCTGCCACAACAGGGCTTGGCTCTGACTCCCCATCCATCGCTAAGGCAACCACCTGGCGAGTCAAACAGAAGCCGTTTAGGACGCAATTAGGAGGCGGCCGCGCCAGTAATTAGTTTTATAATGTCTGACAGCTGGACAGGTAGCTCAGGTATCCCCTGAGGTAAAACCCGCGGTTGCCATGGTTTCACCCCGTTTATGGGTTGAGATTGTTCTCCATTGTTTTTCCCTCTTCAATTTAGTTGCACTAGCCCTTTAAAACATCTGTTTTCATATTTTTTTCCTCCAACTCATCCTAAATCTGTGCTTTGACTTCAAAGAATCAGCGACATTTCTCTGGATGAGTCCAAATGGACGTCTTGGCGTCGCCGTAGTGATGATGTGTGATTTAGGTCAAGCATTTTGATTATTTATTACCATTACAAGAAAAATTAAAAAGGGTTGCAATTAAGTACAGCTACAGGAAATATGTCAATCACTTGAGTAATTACCTTATTAGCAGAATTAAGCCTGACAAAACCTATTTTCTTTAATAATTTCGCAGATGGAATCTAAATTGTATTACTTGAAATAAAGATGAATTAATAGGGTTAGCTTTTCTAAAAATAACTCCCTTTCTTTAGCCGTATATTAGATTAACATCTAAATTCGTTCAATTAAGTGTCATTTATTAGAGCTAGGCTCCAGGATGGTAGGCTGCTTAACTTTTTTTTGTGTTTACTATAAAACAAAAAACGCAACAGAGGCGAGAGTGTTTCTGATGCATGGAGGAACAACCTGTGTAGAGAAAAATAGAGAAATTGTTGATTATTAAGTCTCTAAACAAAGCTGCCCTCAAAAAAAAAATATTAATGAGAATGAAAACCATCAAGCTCATTTTCATTTATCCTGCAATTAATTAACTGCGACAGGCTTAACTGGGATGGTTGAGCTTTAGCTTGAGATGGCACCATTTTAAATATCGTCAAGATAAATAACTTTATTTATCTGACCCGATCAGATAAATGCCGCCACAACGATAAGAGTTGTAGGAAATAAACAAAAACATGACCAAGCTGTGACAATGTCTTCCTGCTTCCGTTTAATGCCTGATGGAGATGAGTCAATCCAGCAGCTGAGAAAAGAAAAGATTAATATATTGAAGATGTATTTGACCACATCTATTGGTTTTAAAGTAGCAGGGCACCGACCGCAGTTTTCTGGCCGATCGCAGATTACCGATCTTTAAAAAGCCTAACCTGCCGATGCCGATTTTGGCCAACGCCAATATTTTTTGTCTGAAAAAGTGTTAAATATAACAAGAAAGTTGCTGAGTTGGCAACCGTGGGGTGACTGTTGTCAACTATAAAGGTGCAGACGTGACCTGGTGGGTCGATCAACTGAATCTCTCTCACAGCATTTATCTGAAGAGGTCAGTGGCTGAGGTCCATAAGATCGGCTTCACACGTGTCAGGCGATCTCCCAAAATTAAGGAAATCAGCATTGATAAATCGGCTGGTCGATAAATCAGTGAACACAAACAATGCTCTTAAAAAAACAGCTTGTTTTCAAATAGGCATTTTCAGGATACCTGTTACATAAAGAAGCGACATTCTTATCACTACACGTAACATAGAAACTGGATTTTATGATATTTTCTAATATATTGATGCTTCTATGGAACAAAGAGTGGGAAAAAAATAAAAATAACCTAAAGCAATACATTTTTGAGGATTTTCAACAACATTAATTGGAATTTATTATTAGGATAAATCCAGTTTTCTATTATATATTAAAAAAAAAGTCATGATAATTGGGAGTGGGTGATATGAAGGTACAAGTTTTATCACCATATTTTGTCACACTGTTGTGATAAAGTGACAATAAGAACCAGTTATTACTTCTTTACTGGGTAACTGTGACATAAAGAAGTCCAACTTATATCACAAAGCTGCACACGGTAACTTCATTTAACTGTATTTTCAGATTGTATTGATATTTATTGATACTCTTATTGAACAAGCCATGGAGAAAATAGTCAAATTAATCCCAACAAAACAGACAGCATGTGTCTAAACATATTTGGGATTTATTGTAAAAACAATCAATCAAAATTCATCACAATAAATATGATAAATGCAGCAGAGCTACCTTCAGACAGATCCCTGCTCCAACACACCTGAGCCAACCGGAGGCCTTCTCTCACCTGCTGCCTTCCGCTTCTCCGCAAAAAGGTGCTCACTCGTCGTCCTTGGCAACCGGTGAAGCTACACCTTAGTTACCAGGGTGACGGTAAGGCCCACCGCCTCTAAAAAGTCTGGCTCCTTGTGTGTCTCATCTGGGCGATGTTGATTTAGTGATCGCCATACCAACCGGAGTAATACATAACTTATGAATGGAGCTTAAACGGCGAGGCGGACTGTAAAAACACCAGAGACGAGCGGCAGAGCCCTGCAGTCGGGGAGAACGTTTTGAGGATGTGCGGAAGCTGGTTGTGTTTGTGTCACGTAGCAGTCGGGGTGGCTGCGAGCCCCATACATCACGTCGCCGCTGACAGCTGCGGCGCAGAAACGCACAAGTACACATGAACGGATGCGTTGATCTTTGAAGCTCGTCATTCCCCTCAACAGACAGGAAGAGCCTGAGAGCACACGAACACATCTCCCTGAGCCAGAGCAGAGGCCAGGCGGCGCTTCGTCCCCAGAACCACAACATCCTGGTGGCCATTTTGATCCCAGCACCATGCCACGGCTGCATCTCGGTGGGAGAGGGCTGGGGTGTGGGTTTCGGGGGGGGGGGAAGTGTCTGGTCACACACTATTTCACAGCTTTTTCTTTTTTTACTTCAGTCAAACTGAATTTCAGCATGGCGGATTTTCTGTCATTTTAAGTTCCTGACAAGGCGGGAGAAAATCCCCCTGTCCTGATTTTATTTTTCCCCCCCCAGATCTGAACCAGAGCCGGGTGCAGTCAGCGGATGACCCCCGGCCTCCCTGTGAAACGTCACATGGTTCTAAACTGGGACACATCCTACTTTAACTGGTGACGACTCATCATAGGCTACCAAGATGTCAAGTTTCAGGGCATGTTTTAAAAGCGACACGCACCGTTTGTTTCTCCAAACATGTTCCTTTCTCTCTGAACTTTTAAAATTAAGGACAGGGTAAGTAAAAAGAAAAACACTCGTTTTACAACCGTTTACCCACGCTACAGGAGGCCCAGCGCACATTATATCTGTGTTTTAATGAATATGGATATAATAAAACCTCCAGGCTGCTTAAATATCACAAAGAATAAGAAGACGTCTGTATTGGGATGCAAGTAACCAACCGGACAATCTTTTATAATACGCACAATTAAGTTATGAATAAACTGTAAACGCTATGATCAAACAACATGGTTTTATCGAGTTTTAAATTAAGTGCAAAGTTTTAAATTTAAAACTCTACACTGAAAATTCGCAATGCCATGTTCAATATCAGGCCTGCAGCTAACGATTATTTTAGTAATCATTTATTCTAACAATTAAATTAAAAATGAGATTCTGCAGATTTTTGCTTTAACCACTTAAACTACAAAGTAAGAAATGCATTAAAATATTAATATAATTTCATTGATTTTTTTAAATAAAAAAAAACAAAAACATTTTAGTTGTCTAAAATGCAGTAACCTAGCACATGTTAACCAGGTGAAGCTAAAGGTACGCCTCTTGAGGAGAACTGAGTAAATACATGTTTACAAAGTTTTTTATTTTTATATTAAATACCAAATGTGAGAATTATTTGTACAGTTTTGGCAGAATTACTGCTCTGAGGGTGTTGCCATTTGAGCAAATGGCCTTTGAGTCTGCACATTCCAGTTAGCAATTAATCAATACCTAAATTAGTTGACGACTATTTCAACAACAAATTAAGCATGAATAATTGATTAATCAAATTAATTATGATTAATCCAACTAATCATGATTAATCCAACCAGGGTTCCCTCACTGTATTATAAGCCTGGCGGGTCACCAGGCTTTACTTGTTCCCCCACCAGGCTTAGCATTGTTAATTTATCTTAGTTTTTTTATTATTATTGGCATTTTTTAATACTATATAGTTGGTGTTTAGTTATTAATCATCCAGTCTTCCAAAAATGCATAACTATCAAATAACATTTTCAAATTTCATGTCAACTTTAAACATTTTTTTTATCTCAAAAACATGGCGGCCGGCTGAATGACTGCCCTGGCGCCCCAAGCATCGGGCTTAGCAAGTTTTCCGGGGGAAACCCTGCCAACTAATCGCGATTAATCATTTTCAGCATAACAGAAAAATAAACCAATTAGTGAGACAATATTTTAATTGCATTAATTAAGGCAAGACTACGAAGTATTCAGCACTAAATAAAAAAGAAGCTTTGTTTGTTTTTGTGATTTTTTTTTCCTCAAACAGCACACAAGCTAAAAGACTACCCAATGAGATGGGCAATTAACTGGAAAAAAATATTTCCCAGTATAAACGTCAAACGTTTGTTTTTTTAATGTATAAACAAAGATTCAGTCTCTGTGTTTCTGGCAATTTTGCATCATATTTTCTTTGGCAATCCACCAGAGTCAGCAGGGTGGGTTGCCATGGATTCGCTGCTGCTGGATGTGAATCCGTAGCCAACAGTTGATTGGAGCGTAGAAGGAGAAGTGGGTGTGGGGGAAGTGCCTCGATGGGGGGGACTCAGTCTGATGCAACACAGTAACAGGGCTACCAGTAAGTAGCTAATAGCATGTTTACTAGAGGTGCACCGATTGCAGTTTTCTGGCCGATCACCAATGTGGTTATAATCCCAATTATGTCAGAAAGACCTTGGAAAGTACAGGCCCATAAAAGATTCTCATAGAATGAAGAAAAAGTCTCTTTGGGTCACTTTGAGTATCATCCTAAATGTAAACATATGGATTTGTGCTTTTTTTGGTTTAACTCATAACTTAACAGTTTCAGTACAGTTTACATTTAAACATGTAAATGAGCATAAATCAGCTGCCGGTTCAAAAATATACCAACAGTTGGTATTATGCCACTGCTATCGAGGTACAATGACATTTTAAAACTGCAATTACTTTCCATCCCATGTAGAGGAAGTGTCAGGTTGACTGGAGTTTTTAACCTCTATGGAGGAAGTAAAGCAGTGCTGCCCCTCCTCCACTTCTTGCTGCACCCAGCTGGTTAGCTGGCTGAAACAAAACCACTAGGCATTTCCCTCACGTAGAAGAAAGACAAATGTTGCTATTTAGCAACAAACTTTGTGCAAAAATGTGAAAACTGTTAACTTATAATATTTTAGCAGTGGAAGGAATAACTGCTTGGTCTTCCATTTAAAACAAAAACCAATACAATTATACAATGCATTTATGTTTTTAAATGTTTGTGTTAGTAGGGTCTGCAAACACTGCAAAAACATTAAACCCTACAGTAATCGAGATCTGCTTTCCTGCAAAAACACTGAAGCTGAATGAGGAAGACTCGCTCCGTCTGCTCACGTGACAGGAAGCTCACAGCAAAACAAAATGTCAGTCCCAGATCTTCATGTCTTTTTTTTGTAGCAGCTCCTAAAACCAGATTTGCTCCCAAAGCAGCTGCACATAGCAGCAGCAGCAGCATTACCTCCCGTAAGCCAGAACACCAGGCTGATGTCATCAGACCACATGTGTTGAGGTAACAACATCTGTTTGCAAATGCCATGGTAACCGGTGGTAAAATACTGTGGACAATGTGGAGCGCTACTTCCCCCCTCCCCAAAGCCAAGCCGAGCTGCAAAAAGCAATGGACGCCAGTTTTTTTTTTTTTTTCAGCCTGCCAGCCTCATGAATGGGGGGAGGTGGAGGGATGGATGAATCTCAGTGCAAAGCAGTGGCGCTCTGAAGGGGGAAAAAATAGACTGAGTTCAGACTGCAATGCAGAGCTGCGAGACAGTCTGCATGCACGTGGATGAGAGGCAAAAAAAAAAAAGAAAAGAAAAGAAAAAACGAGGATCCGGGCACTAATGAGCTCTGACATGTAACCTTGCTCCCAACGTCAACACCAGGTGGACAGAGATAAGGAGGGGCCGGGCGGTGTGTTACAGACACCCGCCTCCCCTGCAACAAAAACCGCTTCATGGGGGCAAAACAGCGTCTGCGCCACATCACCATAGGTGTTCCTCTACCTTTCCAGCACCATCCGGCTTGCGCAGCAAGTCATAATATGGAGATATGCAGCATTTTCCCCACCCCCTTTGCTCTAAAGAAGAAGAAGATAGCATATCTTATTCAAATTAAAAATCCTGAGCTCATTATATAAGTATTATGTCACTGAGGATGTGATGCGTAATGCGCAGCCACCACAACATCATAGCAGCTGATGAGTTGGGGTTATAAAAAAAAGAAAAGAAAGAAAGATAGAAACTGGTTACCTGGCAGCGGAGAGATGAAACTACAAGCCCTGAACTACAGCTGATGAGATTTAATGGGACGAAAAAAACATATATATTGACCACAGGAAGGCAGCACGTAGCAGGATTTCAGGCCGTGTCCTTGATAATTTACCAGGACTTGGAGCGGCCACCATAGCGGCAAATGAGGTCCAGGGGCCCGGTTACCACGGGGGGCACTACTTCCCCCCTCCATGCCTCTGCTCCACTTCCACCCAATTCTCCTTCCGCTTCCCTTTTGCTTCTCAGCGCTTTATCCTGACTTAACTTGCCGATGACTAGAGCTGCTCCAAAACTTTGATCAAAGACAGTGAAGCCAGCTACCTGGGCTGCGCAACTCTTCCATAAATAACCCGAGTTGGAGGAAAAGCTAACCTCCAAGTTGGAGGGAGGAAGGAGGAGAGGGAGGGGGGTGTTCAGGAGAAAACGTGGTTCAGGGTGTTCCGTTTCCACCCCTGCCTGCCCTTCCTGGCGCAAACAGCCATTGGATTAGCGGTGGATCGAGGGGAGGAGAGCCGACACAGACTGCGCCATTGTTAAAACGCCGCTAAAAAAAAAAAAAAAAGAAAAAAAAACGACAACAACTTGCTAAGATTGAAACCCGCGGAAACGTATTTTGCACAATACACAGCTCGACACCCAGAAATAACCCCGTCACCCCCCTCCCAAAAAAAGAAAACGTTTATAATCCCACACACCCCCATCCTGTTGGGCCCATTTATGCTGTCTGGTGCGCCACATATACCAATTACATCAAAACCGGCCCGGAATTCAGCTAAAAACACCAACATTTATGATACCTGTCACGTTGGGGTTTTAATTGGAAAGTTAGCCTGCACATAGTCCACCCTGGCGCAATCAGTGGCAAATATACCGGCCTCCACTAGGGGCGCCCTTCCTCAAACGCTTCACATGAACTGCCTTTATTTATGTCATGCGCTGGTGATGGTAGACGCGAATAAATCGCATTTACGTTGTATGCTTGACAAAAATCCAGGTGTTAGTCATTAGTCACGGAACCAGATAACACAGAGCCCTCTCCCACCCCCTCCACACACCCCCCACAACCCCCCCAGCGGAAAGCAGCACTGCCTGCTGTCCGCCATTAGGGAGCCAACGGAACAATACTGGAGACTAGAGGCGGCAGCGGCCACAGTACGCGGAGCCGGGAGGAAAGCTAGACAAATTAACTGTTTATTCAGCTCTCAGTGCATCTCCTTTGGTCGCTGTGACTCCACTGAGCCTCCCCAGGAACCCCACTGGTCTCCCCGCACAAGTTCCCGAAACTTTAAGCAATTAGGCACGAAAGTGGGAAATAAAACCCTTGTGGGAAATATCCTTACCGGAGGAGAGCTCGAAACGCTGTAGCGCCACTTTTGTGCCTTGACATTAATCCGAGAGGGAAGCGCGTGCGCACTACGCAGGACCCTTCACGTTCCCTGCAAAGATCGTCTATAGCACAAGCAGCCCACTCCCCTTTAAGTACGTGGTCTTAAGAGGTTCACGTTCCAGAGAAGTCTCTTCAAATCAATTTGTTTATTATGAAGTAACATTTTAGACCGTTTTTCTGTACCCTCTGAATTTCGAACTCCAATGCATTTTATTGAAATTTTCTTTTCTTTTCCAACAGATTTCCTCAAAAGATGTCCAGTTGTAATGGCAACAATTTGTTTTACACGGCATGGATATATATATATATAAACGCACATAATATTTTAAAGCATTTTTAGCAAAAACTGCTGAACACCTTTCAGTTTATGACAATTAGGAAAGGAAGCAATTATTAGTGGATTAATGGAGTGCAAGTTATTAGAATCAAATAGGACAGAACCATCTTTTCCCACATTAAAATATGTAAAGAAACATCCTTTCATAATGTTTTTTCTCAATTTTATTCTCCAGTCATAAAAAGATGAACATGTAAAATCACATTTCTGTAACCATTTATTTTATGATAGTGAATACAAATATATTAAATTTTATTATGAAAGATATTTATTATTTTCTGGGTATAAGTTGCTTTCCCTTTTTCTTTATTTGTGCTTTTGTCTAATTTCCCCTCCAGTTTTCTGAGGTCCCACTGACGCCCCCTTGTGGAACCCCATGAGGCCGCGGCCCTCACTTTGAAAAACACTGGGGTTGGTCGTGACATTTTCTCGACAATTCTGTATTAAACACAAAATTTCACCGGTTTTATGTAATTTTCGGAGAAACGAAACTTTGATTTTTGAATAGCCGTAGGTCATAAGCATAAAACGTCAACAAAACGTGTCTTCTGATGCGTTTTTTTCAGTAGCCAGAAATAGAGACAGAGTGAACCCTCTCTCACACATTATCCTATCTGAAGGACTACTATTTTTTTATTTTTTTATTTTGCTCTTTTCGTTTTTCCTCAATATTTCTTTCGTCCGTCGCGCAAGCGCAGCAGCGGCAGCAATCAGCGGTGCATGGCTGGCAATTAAAACGCCCCATTACGTTAATTGCATTTTATCGATGCATATCATGTCTCTCATGTCAACTGACTCGCAGTTCAGCTCGGAAGTGAGCGTTTATTAAAGTTGGAAAGCTGTTTTTTTCCCTCCTCTCTCTTAGGTAAAACAAGCTGCTGCGTTGCACAGAGCGCGCACGGGTCCAATCAGAAGCAGGGATCAGGGTTGAGAGAGTTCATGTTCTCAGCCGTGTTGGTCGGTACGACGTCGGGTTTCCCCACTAATTTCATCCAGACGTGTGCCAGAAAGCAAGAGGCCAGGAAAAGCAGTTATTAACCATCAAGACCTAAAAAAAAAAAAAACCTTCTTAATTCGCACTAAATATAATAACTTGGACTTGATGTTGACAAAACAAATGCATATCCGTGCGATAAGAACTTATCTCTGATCAGAGCAGGTCCATTTTGAATAGAGGAAGGCTTTTATTATGGTTAATCTGGCGCGTTTTGTGAACAGATGATGGCAACATGGCGGACCAGGTGCGTTCAGATCTCTCTGAAACGCGCAGATCTGATTTGTGCCTTCGGATGATGGTGCAGAAAACATCTCTGGTTATGTGGCCGCACACATCTCGAAAACACAACACGTTATTCCAGAAAGCGGGTCCAGGATTCATTTTATTAGTTCCAAATCAGTCACATGGAATCGCTGCTGGGGTTGCCAGATTTGCCTATTGTGTCCTGCACAAAATGTCTGAGATTTCCGCTTGGATACATGCGCAAAGATAGGCGCCCAACAAAATTTAATGGAATTTTACTAATCTAACGCCGTGTGTGTGTGTGTGTGTGTGTGTGTGTGGGGGTGTGTGTGTGTGTGTGTGTGTGTGTGTGTGTGTGTGTGTGTATACGGAAGAACTCCATATGCAGAAAGCATTAGATTCTACTAATGTGATTCATTTTAATTTGTGTTTATATAGAGCAAAATATTAATATTAGGCCCTGCTCACGTTCATACAGTTACATATAATCATGTTCAGTCCTATAATTTGTTATAATCCAACATTCAGATGTGACTATGATCTTAATTAAACTAATTCAGTTCACTTTATTAATGCAGGTGAACAGACTGATTTATACTCAGAAATATAGAACCTGACCTAACAAAAACAATTCAACCAATCAGATTTGAGTTGGGTCTTAGAACAGAAGTGACATATTGAAAAAGGGCCACTATTTTCATCAGGTCACTAACTTTTGCAGCACTTTCTCATCCTGTGAAAGCATGCAGTGACCATGGAAACGAACAACCTCCTTTTCACAGATAGAACCTTCCTGCTTACCAGCAGCATATTTTATCTACTTTTAAAGTTTTTATTTGTAAGAATTATTTGAATTCAGAATATATTTTTGGAAGATCCAAATTCATAGATTATTTACAAATATCCCTCCAGTTAGATTACTGTGCCACGTAAAAAAAAAAAAAGTTTTCTTGTTTTGAATAAGCAGATATTGCATTATTCCTTTGAAATTAGAATGCTTTTTTTTTGTTTTTTTTTTGGAACTGGTACTTATTAGCTCTTGAAAACTTGATAAGTTGTCTGCGTTCATTTTACCATTTTGTTGCAATGTAAGTTTTTTTTATTTTTTCAGCACTTCCTTCTGCAAAGTTGGGCATTGAACAAGTAAGCCTTTGTTATCTGGACCATCTTAGTTTTTCTGCATCACATGAACTTCCTTTTATGGCTGGAGAATACCAAGCCTGAAGTGAAAAACAAAAAAAAAGAAACGACTTGGTTCTGAGTTTCAGCTTAGCACAGATGGAAATAAGCTTCTCTTATTCTCTTTATTGAAATGGATCAAGCATCTTCCTACAAAACCCACAAAGATCAACGTTGAGGTAAAAAAAACAAAAAAAACATCTGACTTTCAGTGGAAGAAGTGAAGGAATCAACAGTGAAAACTGATCACTTTTGCAGACAATTTCATGTGCAGTCCAAGTGACCGGAGAGCATGCATTTTGAAGTCTGTCCACAAATTCAGGTCCCGACTTTGACTAGGCCATTCTGACACATCGAAGTACTTTGATCTAAACCATCATCAACCCCATTACGGGGTTTGATGATGATGATGCACATGAACTGTACAAAAAGAGATGGCCTTAAATCAAAGTACATTTTTGCAGTTTTACTTCACTAAGGATAACTAATGGTATTTTTACTTAATAAATACCAAAAAATGGTTAAGATTTTTTGTTTGTTTATTTTGGAAAATTTTTTAAAAGCTTTCTTTAATTTCAGAAGTTTACACACATGGAAGCTGCTGTGTCTTTGCACGATTTCGGTAAAACCTCATGTTGTCATGTTGTCGTAGTCTTCTGATTCGTTTTCATTTTCAACACTGGACCGATCGGAGAACAGCTGGAACAACGTGTGACTTCATGAAAACGTTAAAAGAATATTTCAGCTTCGTCATGTCCAAAACTGACTGAGACTGACCACTAAAAAAGATCCAGCGGGATCCAGAATTTCATTTGAAAGGAAATCAGGAAAACTGTAGATTGTTTTCCTTCCACTGGACTATTTAGTGTCTGTCTTTCACATTAAATTTCCATCAAACCACACTGGATTTGTTTCTCAAAGCAGCCTAGTTAAAAAATAAACAAGAAATCCAAGGCTTTCAGGACTTCCTGGTCTTACTTTTTGCATCTAGGACACCAAAGGGTGAAGGTTAGTTATGATTGACTTCCTTTTCCAAACATGTGACATTGAACTAGGACCAATCCATCATCCATTCCCCTCATCTCTCACAGTTGTTAGTTTTTAGAAGTCCAGAATCAAATTTAGAGTATTTTTTTTGTATATATATTGCACTGAAACTTTTATATTGAACAGAAACGTGGATTCCTTCCACATTCACAGTACGATCACAAGAGAGATCCATTTTTACTGCTGGTGGTTTAAGAGCAACTTTTAACGCAGATCCTGCGTCCATTTTAGAATACCCAGAACTCCGATTGGTCCGACCTCAATATGCTTCCCCTGTGTGGTGGCGGCCAGTCCCGACTGACCCCAAATAAACTCACTGTTGCTCTCAGACAAGGCCGACGTAAACCATGTTATTTTCTCTCTTTTGATCAAATGTGCATCTGAAAGGGGGGATTGTTGGATCATTAAACATCTTTAAGAAAAGCTTGAAACCATGTTGAGTTAGAAGCAGCTTTGGAAAAACACTGCTCTAATTAATTAGCATGCCCTTGTTTTCATATGAAATATTAATGTCCAGTGGCTGATGAAGCTGTTTGAGCGGGCAGAGATCAGACGGCCCCGCATCAAAATTCCTCCAGGCTTGAAATGTGGAAGTGAATACAAACCATCTAACTGGCCTCATTTTATCATGAAGCAGTTATTTTTATTTTTTTTAAGATTTCAAAGTTGGATTTTTTATTAAAAACCCCAGACACATTTACAAATGTAGACAATTTAATACATATTTGAATTAGATAGATGTATCCTGTTACTTTGACAGATAGCCCTTACAGTAAACCTCAACATGATTCTGCCACCACCATGCTTTACTCCAGACTGATGCTTCAAAAAGAATATTTTAATGTAGGTTCAGAAAAAAAAGGGGGAAAAAAGTCTGTGATGTGGATTTTTTTTTCTATTTTGATTGTCTAAAAATGTTTTGGGTCTATTCCTGGCAACAAGGACTTACTTTGAAAACACCTGCGTTTAGACAGGTTCACTCAGATTTATGTTTGAGTAAAAGTTGCTGGTTCTTTGTGGTACTCATAAATTAAAATGAAGCAGTATGGAGAAAGGGACAAATAGAAGAAAACGTTTGAGTTTGAACATATTCCATTTCAAAACAAAAAATAATAATTTTGAGATTAATCTCAGAAATATTCTAGAAAAAAAATAAATTTCTGAACAAGTCAAAAATTTGTGAGAAAAACCCCTCAAATTTTGCAATTAATCTCAAAATTTCTGGAAAAACATGGAGATTTCAGAAGTTTTATTCTTTTTTTACTTAAGCTCAGAAAACTTTGAAGTCGCACATTTTTGACTTCTGAGACTCAGAAATTTCCACCTTTTTTCTAGTACATTTTTGACTTTTCAACCTCAGAAGGTTTTAAGTCGTTTTGCTAGAAAATGTATATTTTTGACAGAAATTTACTCTTTCTGTAGTGGCCCTTATATGTGATCTGCTGTTGTTCAGATCACGTCTAGACTTTTATAAAGCAGCAAAAAAAAAAAAAAAAAAAAAAGAAATTCAGGAAGCTGAGGTTGAGAAGCAAGTCAAAGTTTTAATCGGCAGTCATGTACAGTCTATGTAAAAAATATCTAAATCCTGCAGGGGCAATCAAAGCTTTTCTCGTAGCTACAACAAAATGAAGCAGGGCAGGTCTGAGACGCGTTGGGCCTTAAAACAGCTTTTTACAGCACAAATAACTTAAGCCGTGAAACATAAGCAGTCATCACATGACACTTTATAACAGTTTATTTTTCACTTTTATATTTATATATTGTATGTGAATATGTACAAACTGGAAAATATATATATATAAAATGACCTCCAAAAAAAAAAAAAAAAAAAAAAAAACAAAGAGGCAGGAACAAAAACTACGTTTTTAAAAAAACCCCC